TGAGTATGTATCTATGAAGAACTTTACAGATAAGCCTACATGTCTAGTCATAAACCAAAACGGCAATAACCAAAATGGCAATGACAAGTACCAAAAAAACCGGGCGCGGTCCGCATTTTATTATTTTCTGAATTATTATTATTATTATTATTATTATTATTATTATTATTATTATTATTATTATTATTATTATTATTATTATCATTATCATCATTATTATTATTTCGCGTTTTTTACTTTTATGACATAAATAGCCTTATTTTGTCTGTATTTGAAAGTTTTATTTATTTAAACGTTTACTGCTCTCATATTGTTTCCCCTAGTCTTTTATTATTGAATTTGTATGTTATAGGCCTATTATTATTATTATTATTATTATTATTATTATTATTATTATTATTATTATTATTATTATTATTATTATTATTATTATTACTATTATTTAATTATTATTTTTATTGTTTGTTGTTTTAAAAAAAAACGCGAAGGAACGACAACAACAAACAATAAAAATAATAACAATTAAATGACATAAATAGCCTTATTTTGTCTGTATTTTAAAGCCTCATTTATTTAAATGTTTACTGCTTTTATATTGTGTTTCCCCCATCTTTTATTATTGAATTTGTATGTTATAGGCCTATTAGGCCCTATTATTGTTGTTATTATTATTATTATTATTATTATTTTTATTATTTAATTGTTATTATTATTGTTTGTTGTTGTTCTTTCGAGTTTTTAGATGACAATTTAACCTCATTTTTACCGTATTTAATCGTGGTATACTTTCATGTTTATAATTGGTTAATATTTCGTGTTTTCTAATTTTATAACATAAATAGTTTAGCCACATTTTGTGTGTTTTTTTTTTAAGTTTTACTTATGACAACTTAGCCTAATTTTTTACCGTATTAATTGTTTACACATTGTTAATAGTTATTTTTTATGTAGGGCCACATTGCAATGTGTTTTAATTCTTAAAGAAAACGTTCATAGACCATTTTGGCTTATTGCCGTTTTTGACTTTGGCCTATTGCCGTTTTGGTCCATTGCCGTTCTGGTCAGAAAGTGTTTTGCCTTTTTGGTCATTGCCGTTTTGACTTATTGCCGGTTTGACCAGAAGCTTTATAAACAATAGAGGACATGGACTTACCTCAAGCAATAGTTTATTAAGGAGTCAAAGCCTGACACTGACAGTAGCAAATTGGCATAAATCAATGGCTTTGAATGGCATTTTAAAAAATGTAGTTAATTATTGACATATGCAGAAGCAAATAAATACACAGAAAAACATATAAATCAAGAATTTACCTTCCTTGGAAATAAACTTGAGCATTTCAATGGCGAATAAATGATAAAAAAAAAAAGCTCAGGATATGTTGTCAGTAATATTCTATTACTGTAGACCTTTTGTCACTGTAATACGGTATACAAGAAAATATTGATCAACGAAGTCTATTTTACGAACCAGTCGAATGAAAATAATACTCAACGAAAATTCGTAGTCAACGAAATGAACCAGTCGAATAAGTCCAATGATAAAATTTGGATATTCCCATATTAATCGAATTGTTTTGGTAGCCGTTTTGCGTTTTGGCGACTGGGGCATTCTCTACTTTTTAATATTAGTGTGGAACGCCAATGGAGTTTCACGTTACCATCATAATTGTAACGTATTCTTTGGAACATAAGTGATAGGCCTAATAATTACAGTACCGTACTCGCGCGAATAAGCGCCCGGGCGCTTAAAATATTTTTTGCACTTTCTGAGGGGCGCTTATTCAAACGGGGCGCTCATGAAAACAGAGTGGAAATTGAGGGGGCGCTTATGGAAATAGATGAAAATCGAGGGGTTCTTATGCGAACTTTAAAATTAAATTCAAGAGGCACCTTTTGAATGAAAAAAAGATTATATAAGGACGAATGGTGGTTAGGCGGAAAAGATAATCGTCCAGAGAACATGGCTCATGACAAGAATGCTGTGAATATTTATAACAGCAGGGGTCAAGTGCGTCGATCCGTGGCTGAAAGTGGGTGGGGGGGACGAGATGAAAAATAAATCCTTGGGCCGTAGGCCCAAGCTATGGTTGGGGACCAGGGGCGAAGCCCCGGAAGCTCTGGCGCATATAGCCTTTTAATTGATTTTAAGCAATGCAATTAACATTTATTTCCATACAAAATTTTTAAAATATCCAGTGGCGGATCCAGTAATTTGAAATAGAGCTGGGCCCATAGAGGGACTTTTACAGATGGAGAGTGTAGCTGGACTACCACCTCAGCCCCACCATGGTTGGGGCTGAGGTAAGAAAATTTATGATTATGGCACCTCCAGTTGGTCGGAAATGGCACTCTCAGACTGAATTTGAATATAATTTTAAATTTTCTCCACTTTTAAATTTCGAAAAAAAAAAAAAGATAGTGATGGTGGGCCGGCTGGGCCCCTTGAATCTGCCACTGAATTAGTCATCATAAAAAGTTTTTAAAATTATCCCTTTTAGTCATAATTATGCACGCTTATATATTTCGTGCAAACTAACATTCATAAAAATAATGATTTATTATCTACTGATTAGCTTGTAACGTATTCAAAATTCGAACTATGAAAAACAAATAAGATAAACTTAAAACAGTCATTAATT